TTTATCTACATCTCTGACCAACATTTCTAGAACTTCTGGAAGCATATGTCTCGGGGCATCATGGATTGTGATCAACTCAACAAAACCTCCAGGAAAGAACAGTGAAGTCTCAATGGGGAGAATGAAGATTTTACATTGCTTCACTGAAACTTGTGGAACTCCTTTTCCGAAACTATGAATCTTTCAAATTCACTGTGTACTTTCAAAACAAAATCTGAAAACGTACTTGTACATGGACATGTAGTTAATAATTAATATCCAGTGTAAAACGCCATGAGCAGTGCTTGCGAATGATACCGGCACTATACAAATTGCCATTGTTATTATTATATATAATTTTTTTTTTGTCTTTTGCTTAAATCTATGGTCTCTCATAGTTTGATTTTCTGCTGGTGTGCCATCAAGCAGAGTAGGTAGATTAGCGCAGAGGCAAGAGAATTAGACATTGGTGGGAGAGGGACCGTGAGAGACAGTCTGCTTTGAGAAAACCTACCTGAATAGACCAACTAATTGCTTATTCTCTCCCAAAACACACCCCTGATATTAAAATGGAACAGACGGTTCTGATTACCTTGTCTTTTGGATGGGACTTAAAGCTGTTGTTTCTGTAGTACATTTGTACTACAGTACCTGTGTAACACTACTGTATGCACTATTTGAAAGTATACTGGAGTACAGTACTTTATTGTGTGTCTTGTTAAAGGGATTGCCACTTCAGTTCCCTACTAGTCTTATCCTTGGCCCTGTGCATAAAATAAAAGATAATAATAAAAAAAAAAAAATGGGTTGATGTAAAAAAGAAATATTCGTTGGCAGATTTATAATAGCTCGGGCAAACAACAAACAATACAGAGCGATATTAATAATATAATAAGATAAAAATAATAACATGATCTGCCACAGCCCATTATCTAGAGCACAGAGAACTGAGCATGAAGTGTGATAGTCACTATCACAATTGACCATGAAAGTTTTTGGAAGCACACAGGAAAATCAAATTTTGGGTGCAGCCCTCAGTTTGAAATAAAAAATTGACTTTGGCCCTTTGACTTTCCTATCCACTCGCCATAGCCTAGTGATATTGAATAAAGTTTGTTCCACTTTTTAAATGAAAGAACGATTATTTACAGCGTACTATACGGCTTCTAAAAGTGTAAGTAAATATCGAAGTGGAATTAGTTGATATTGTTAAGAATTGAAGGACGTTCATAATGGCCAATTGTTGCAACGACTTTGTCTGTAATGTAAAATACTGTAGTGGGTCAAGAAAAGAATTTTCAAAACACAAGTTTCACCTACCTGCGGAATTATGGCTTAGTGGTTTCTATTTCTCTCCTTAAGCATTCCAAGGTTATGACACAAATCCCCCTTGACTCACCTCAAAAGTATGTAGCTCACTGATTGGTTCATGACATGGTTTTAGTGCAATATTGACAAATCATATGCTTGCTCTGAGAAAGTTGGGCTTGGCTCATTATTAATATTTGTGAGGTTGTGTAGTTGTGAATACCGGAAGAGTTACATTTTTGCAATTATAAAAATTGTTTTCTTCTAGATTGACGCAAACTGTAGCAGATTCAAAGGCTTCATTTAAAGAAACTATTCAAATTAAAATTTATTTCTATTTGGTATTACAAGTATGCAATAATACTGTACAATAAACCTATTAAAACTATACCTGTATACAGTACTCAAAACACTTGATTTTTATCTTAAATAATGTATAGTAATGTTCAAAGTTCCTTAATATTGCTTGTTCTTTAATCAGTCTTTCGTGTATATATTAAGGTCAATATTTTTGTATTTTTATTGTGTATTGTATTTCCTGTAGCTTTTAAATTGCTCAGAACTTACTTGGATTTAATGATTTAATGAAGTACATCCATTTTTTTTTTGTACATGCAGTGGCAATGCCATCGGGGGATAGGGGGAGGAGCGGTGGCAGAAGACTTAAGCCTCCATCAGAAAAGTCAAGCCCCCACCCGCTGAGCTCGTCGGGCAGTCGGACTAAAGAAAAATTTAAATACAGGCATACGCCAAGCCAAAACATGCCTTCACAGTTGTAGAGTGCCATTTCCGGCCATCCAGAGGTCCCAATTTTTTAAATAATCTCATTTGGGAGGAGGACACCCTCTTCCAAAGCCTTCTCCTCAGGCTTACAAGCTCAAGCCCCGTCGGATAGCTCAGTCCTCCCCCCCCCCCCCACAATGTACCCTAGAGCCGCCACTGATGTACAGTGCTACAGTATCATCCTGTACTGTACTATAATGAAACCAACTTGGTATAAACATTCAGCATGACATAACAGAAACTATAATTTACATATTTTAACAATAATAGTTGAGCAGCAGTGTACTTTAGCACTGAACAGTAAATAGCGAATGTCACTCATTCAAATGGAAGTTTTATTCTCTGTCATATTACTTTTGATGTTTCATTACCGTCCTACTTTTAAAGTAATTTAATTTTAGAATTAATTTAATGATATTTTACTATCATCAAAAAGATTTTTAAATGAGTTATAGTGGTTGGTGACATCAGAAATTTGTGAGCAGTATTTCAAACTAATGAGTTAGATATTGATTAAGTTTCTACTGTAGCATGGTGAGATTACAGTACTGTAAACTTTTTTCTGACGTAGATATAAATTAATCATCTTATTGCAAATGCGCACCTGTCTCTGATGGAAGGAATACACAAGACTCATGTTTTGTTATTGAAAAATATTGCATAAAATTACCATTTGTTATTGATTAGTTATGACTACTGTACTTAACTTATTTCATCATCTAAATTAGATTACTGTATTGTATTTCTTTATCTGTTTACCTGATATCACAATTATGCGCTTACAACAAGTCCAGAATTCTGCTGCCCGTATTATTTCCCTAACACCTTGTCATCATCACATAAAACTAATCTTACTTACTGTACTAAATCACCTTACCCACTATGTTTCTCTTCACCATCTTCGTTCTTCATCTAAAAATCTCTTGGCAGTTCCGTCTCGTAAAGGCAAAGCAAAACTTAAGGTCAACATGCCTTTTCTTTTCAAGCTCCCTGTACCTGGAATAGTCCTTGCTGCTGAACTTTTAAGAAAAATCTTTAAAACCTATATTATAGGAATGTTAACTTGCCTTATTTCCTCACCTAGTGCCTTTGATAAATTTCGGACAAAAAACAAGGACAATCAATAAAAAAAAAAGGAATGTTTCTTTGGGACCCTGTAAGCAAGTTTGTATGGAGTAGTATTTTCAGAACATTTAACGAGGTATAAAGTTCCAACTGAAACTTCAAAGCCAGCTGTCTTTTATTAAAGGAAGTTCAAACTAACCGGTAGGGGAAAACCCCTGATAGAAACAAGGACATAAAGAAGGAGGGGGATAATAATAATAATAATTCCATACTTTTATGGCGTATTCCGAAAAGCCTCAATGCGCTATTACAAAAAGAAAAGAAAACCAGCAGTAAATAATTTTGACTTAAACTACAGTACTTAAACTAAAATAGTAAATGGTCTTCTGTCTCTTTTATGAAGCCTACTTATAACGTCCAAAATCACCTTAGAATTAATATTTTCTACATGAATAGAGTAAAAGTGAGTGCTTTCTGCTGATGAGGCTATGCCTCTGCCTCTGCTTTGTTCGTACAGCTTCAGCGTGTGGTTGTTGTTTAGTTTACACTGCAATCATAATATGAAACTCCTGCCATTTACTTCTGCATGAATAGCCCTCAATGCGTAGATATCTGTATGCGATAAGGTCCTGCTGGCTGTCCAAACCTAGTGTTTAGTGTTCGTTTAATCAGGGACGATAAAGTTACTCACTAAATGAAAGAATAAATGGTGATGTTGCTGGGAAATTAGCCAAAAATATGTGATATATCGAGCATGGTGTTGGTGTATTTATTATTTTATTGTTAATAACTTGACCTGTTAAGTGGAGTTGTATCAAAGACCAGAAGTGGTGCATTATTTACCGAATTGTTTATCCTGGAACTATAGTACAATATTTTTTTTAAAAACGTGCATAATAATCTGGGTTATATAAATTCACCTTTTTACAAAAAAGTACAAGTTTGCATTCCTTAGTTTAATGGAAGTGTAATATTTTTGTTATCTTTTGTCATGTATACTTTTAAGAATTTTCTATTTTCATTTTATTTTTGATAATTGAAAGTGGAGATTTATTGTACTGCACATGAAATCATTCCTGATGATGACATAGTTAATGTCGAATATTGAATCCCTACACGATGGCGTGCATTTCAATACTTGGTGAAATTGTTGAAGTACCTGATATAGAAAGTTGTTTTGCTTAACTGATTAATGACTTATTGTTTCAGTTGCGCATCCATAAGTGGTTGTTCACAATTATCAATATTTTAGCAAGTGTACAAACAGTACTCTTTTTCAGTACCCCTTCCCTCCCCTATAAAATGTACATAAAAATGTTGATTTTGCAAAACCATTCTCCATTTTTTAATGAAGTCGACTCTGATGCTGTATGGTGGCATTATTATAGTTCGTCATATAAATCTATTCAATATTGTATTTTATTTTTAATCAACATTTTTATGCATATATAAAAGTGTACAAATGTGTCTACCCCTAGTATACTGTTTGTACACAGTGTTGATAATTGTGAATAAATTTGAAATTTTAAAATTTTTTTTTAGCATCACAAACTGTATTGTAAAGGTTACGTTTTTAAGGCTAGTGAGCAGGTTTTGTTTTGCTTTTACCAATTCTCTATCAGACAAACTATTTTGTTTCAAGATCGTCAATTGAAAATTGTTATTACAATGTGACGCCAGTTTCTATATTCAGAGCTTTTTTCTCTAAACGGCAAACAAGGTTGCATTAATTTACAAATTATATTAATTCACTTCGAAAAAAACACTATTGCAGCTGATACTTGCTACAGGGATTATTATAATTACTATTCTTTGAGTTAATTATTAATAAAATAAATAAAAATATTTTTGTTTTTGTTTTTTAGGTGAATCCGGTCTGGGAAAAAGTACACTGATTAATTCACTCTTCCTTACTGATGTATACTCAAACCAGTATCCTGGACCATCCCAACGAATGAAAAAAACAACACAGGTAATTCTAGCTTATTTATTTATTTACTGCACTTCAGGATGCATCAGTCCAGGTCTATCAGTCCACTTTTGAATCATCCATGGTTGAGCATACCCCTCGTCTAAAGTCTTCCACCTCTTTCTGTCCGATGTTTCTCTAAACCAGTATTTATTGTACATTCTCAAGTTGTCTGCCCTACATGCCTTTTATACTGCCTCATTTCTTGTATGTATTTTCGTAATGCATACAAACATCCTCATAAGCAATGGACATTGTGTGTGTCTAGGTCTGAAATTGGCCTAGATGCAAATGTATGTATGAGGCCATCTTTGTAATCAAGAGAAAAAATAAATATGCAGCCTCAAACATCAGCATTTCTTTTTGTTTCTAATTATTTATTATTTTAATTCAGATAAAATCATAACTGATAATTGTCTTTTCCTAAACTAGATTTCTAATGGGAAGATGCATTTTTATACTTAGAGATATTAACATCTCATTATCTTTTGTGTATAAATTTCGTTTTTGCAAGTATAAACTGGATACTTAATATTTCAACCTTACAACCTTATAAGGAATACTATAGCATATATATATATATATATATATATTGTTCTTTATCAGTGGTTTAATAGAAGGAAGTCCAGTACTTGACAAGGTCCTCTCACTTTCTGTTTTGTTCTCACGATGTTGAACTGTCATTTGTTTCACAGTTTGAACTAGTATCTAGTTGTTAGGCTGCTTAGATAGGCTACTGTACTGCAGAAGTTGGTCCTTGGTTTGCAGTGGGCGCATATCTTTCACTATAGATCAACAGTTTATTGTCTTATTAATCATGTGCCAAAGTATTAGTTCTGCAAGTGGTCAACAAACTGTTTATTTAATGTTATTTTGATAGTTCATTCTATTAAACAATGTATGCACAAATAACTTTGAAAGGCAATTTCTCAAAATTTTGTTTATCTTGGTTCTAAGACTACTGTACATTCACTTTCCAATAACTTAGGCTTGAAATGTCCAATTTCTATGAATGACCCCTCATTTTAAAGATCACATACTCATTTATCTGAAAATACCAATAACTTGAATTTCAATATTTGCTACAACTTAGCCATTTTGCCACAACATGCCTCATTTGTGTGTGTCTAGGTCTGAAATTGGCCTAGATGCAAATGTATGTATGAGGCCATCTTTGTAATCAAGAGAAAAAATAAATATGCAGCCTCAAACATCAACATTTCTTTTTGTTTCTAATTATTTATTATTTTAATTCAGATAAAATCATAACTGATAATTGTCTTATATTCTGTATAATCTTTTCCTAAACTAGATTTCTAATGGGAAGATGCATTTTTATACTTAGAGATATTAACATCTCATTATCTTTTGTGTATAAATTTCGTTTTTGCAAGTATAAACTGGATACTTAATATTTCAACCTTACAACCTTATAAGGAATACTATAGCATATATATATATATATATATATATTGTTCTTTATCAGTGGTTTAATAGAAGGAAGTCCAGTACTTGACAAGGTCCTCTCACTTTCTGTTTTGTTCTCACAATGTTGAACTGTCATTTGTTTCACAGTTTGAACTCTGTATCTAGTTGTTAGGCTGCTTAGGTAGGCTACTGTACTGCAGAAGTTGGTCCTTGGTTTGCAGTGGGTGCATATCTGGGATTCTTGGAATGGTGGGGGGTGCTGATGGGGTCAATATGAAGTGGGGGGACTCGATGATTAGGCAAAACGGTGCTAGCTCGCAAATAAGGTGGTTTGACGTGATTTTTTTTTGGGGAGGGGGACTGGGGTGCGCCCCACTGCGCTTCCACTACATACGCCACTGCTTGGTTGTAACTTCTCCTCTGTACTGTCAAGCATTGTTTGAACCTGAAGAGTTTGATTGCAAAAAATGAAAGAACTAAATTTTAGGAAATCTTCAAGAAATGGAATTTATGCTACCTAGCACAAAAGTGAACAAGGAGAACGACTCTTTAAAATCAAGTTAATCATACAAGAGTACCAAAATTCAGATAATGAAAAAGTAGAAATTAACACTCTCTTATCTCTCATAGGCCCTAGGCCATTTGTTAGTTAATGGATAATTATTTATATTATGATATTATGATTTTCATTATTATTATTATTTTTATTTATTTACTTACTCATCGTATTCTATTTATTTATTTTATTTTTATTTGTCTTTTCTACATGTTATCGTTAACATTATAAATATTTATTTAAAGAGGGACCCATGGTTAAAGCTTTGCTTTTCGTGGTCTTTCCTTTTCCACCAATTTGTAATTTGTTACTTGTAATGAAAAAAAATTTGGAATAAATTGATTGATTGACTTGTAGTTTTTAATGTCAAAGCAGTCCTACTATATGAAGATGAAATTAGTTTCTTGGCATAAAGGTCATTAGTTTTTGTATTGTATTGTTAATCTTACTGTAATATATTATAACGTATAATAAGGCTATAAGACCTTCTGAAGTATGTGAATTTTAAAAATTTGGTCTTGAAAAACATGTAAAGTTTTTTTCATCACTGTGATTGCTATTGAGGCTCTAAACCATAAGATCAGGTTTTCCCAGCTCTGTCTTAGTTGTTTTTATTCTTAAATGCTCTACAATTTATGCAATTGGTTGATTTTCAACTTTAAAGCTAGCTACCCTTTAAATTTTGATGTAAAGCACTTCCTTCATAAACTGATAAAAGAATTCCTTTTTCCTATTATCACAAACAGAATAAAAGCTAATTATAGATGTATCTATTGATAAGGTTTCACCATCAATATGGCTGATTAAATCGGGCACGCTCCCCTGACTTTTCTGAACTATTTCAAAGGAATTATATTTTTTATTATCTCCGGATCTTGACTGTATGTAATTTCAGTTTATTTTGAACATTTCATTGTGCAAAACTTTGATATAGGTCAGCTTTTGAATGGCTTCTGTTGTGAGAGTTTGTTTCCTTTGCTGTAGGCCACTGTAATGACAGAAGTCTCCTAGGGTAAATTGTACTTTTCTACATGCCATTTAAAACCGCATCTCAATTTTGTAGAGGGGAAGTTTACAAGGAATTCAGTTTAAAAAAAAATCAGTATTATATTACAAAAATCCTAGCAATAAAGGCTGTTTTTTTTTATAGCAACGTGAACCATTTTGTAAATTGAATGGCCGAGCAGTTCAAGCCATACTGCCCTATCAGGGGTGGATCCAGAATAGATAAGTGAGAGCGCTAATTTCAATATCTGCCTTGAAATTTTAAAATTTAGTGGCAAACCGGGAAGGGAGAAATTCCCCCATTCCCCTTACTGGATCCATACCTGCCTATGGCTCTGGTGGTAGACCAAGTCTTTCTTAGGATAAGGAATATAAACCATTTGTCTCATGTGCACTGTTAAAGAACCCAGAGCATCTTTTGGAATGAGTAGGCTGTAACCCTAGTGTACTGTTGTTCATACAGCCCCTGTTGTGGACAGATAAGAGATAACATGGTACCGGTTTACAGGGTAGCTCAGACACGAAGGGCCCTATTTAGGGGTTATTGTACGAGCTAGTCCACACCTCAAACGCTTTGCGACTTCGGTATAAAGCACTATATAAATCAAACTACATTATATTTTTACATCCGCCGATTTGCGGGGGTGGTGGGGATTTTTTAAAAATGGCCCCCAGTATTAAAAAAAAAAAAATACTCGGGCCATTTTTTTCCTGAGCGATTTTTATTGGGTGATTTTTACTGGGTTATATTTTTGCAGCATACAGTATCCTACTGTACTGTAAACAGTGGTCATAAATATAACCAGTACAGTGCCTTTTCGCCTTTTCAGTTGCCTGTCTATTTTCCTGGTCTTGTTACAGCAAGGTCAACAAGATAGAATTCCAGAACATAAGCTCATAGGGAGGGACCTTCTAAAACTTCCTGTCAAGATTTACATGTCAAGTAGTAAAGACAGTCAAAGATGCCCTTGCATTCTATCCTTCAATTACCCACTGCTAAGAAAATAGAAAGTTGCAAAAGTTTAAATAGGTAAATACTGTTACAACGTGGTAACAGAATCCTTAGTAATGAATAAATTGTTACTGTTCACCATGAAGACTGCTTGAACAGTTTCGATTTTAAAGATTTAATTGTATGATTGATACATTTGACTAATCACTACATATTTATTATACACTTACTGGTAAAATACAGTACTGCACTTATTTATTATGACTATTTTAACCACTGGGTATTGACTGAATTTTTATTGGAATTTAGTCAAACCACTTCATTCATTCCAAAATTTTAATTTATTTCTTGGATAATTGATAATAAATTATCTTATAACCTTCTCTCTCTTTATTATTTGTTTAATTATCTTAATTTATCTTACCTTGGAGTGCACTAAAAATTCTGATAAAATTTTACCCTTTTGGAATAATAATAAAGGACAGTGGCAGTCCATGTGATTTCTGATAGAATTCCTTTGGCATGAAACACTCCAACGATAACCCACAAATGTCCTAGGATTTCAAGTTGGGGTCTTTCCTAGTGGGGAGATTGGGTAGTAGTACACCAAGAAACAATCTCCAACTCTTTATTACCCAAGAGTGTGCACACAGGACCAAAAGCTTAAAATGTCTCATCCAAAAAAAAAAAACCAAAAAAAAGGGTACACTATAAAGGAAACTTGCATTTCAGCCGAAGGGATGGGAATTGAACCAGGGATCTGACCAAGATATATCCACGGTTCAGCGCACACATTGGCTACCACCAATTTTACCGACTGAGCTAAACTGCTTTCTATCATGGCGATGGATTTGAAGATCTGTTCATTTCAATAATTAAATAATTAATAAATTTGATCCACTAGATAAATTTGGACTTTATACCTGTCTGTTAGTGTCAATAATCATTGGTAATGTATGCGTAGTGATGGAGATGAAATCCCTTGGGAATAAGGATAATTGGATGGAGAATCATTAGTAATCCATTTAATATACCATTGGATAAATCATGGGATGAAAAGAT